CAAAAGTCGGATTTAGACAGTAGATTAGGTAAAAGTATTGTGCCAGTGTTAAGTTTACTGAAGATGACAACCACACTATGTAGTTCTGTAAGGGAATGTCTCTGCTCATATGAAATACAATTGATGTATTTAGGGGTGAGTGGCCATAATACATGTAACTTTCCCTATAGTGATTCAAGGGAACGTACAGTGAAGGGGGTGCAGAGAGAGACAGATGTGGGGGTGGGGTGGGGGGGGAGAGAGAGAGAGGGAGACGGGGGGAGAGAGAGAGAGGGAGAGAGGGAGGGAGAGAGAGAGAGAAAAAAAATAAAGCAAATGGGAAAATTGTCAGCAGTAGGTGAAATTCAGATAAAAGAAAATCAGGTGTTCTTGTGCTACTTGTATTCTTGTGATTTTTCTCTAAGTTTGAAGTTTTTTTCCAAGTTAAAAAAAATCAGTCTTGCCTATCCTGCTTTGGTGCAGGGACATTCATCTCCCGACTATTCTGTTGGTTAGTTTTGGGACCCCGCTGATGTCTGACTTCTTGTTAGAACAGATAACATCAGTAACCTAAAAGAAAAAACACTTTTATTTTGGTAGTGAAGCTCTTTCTCGCAGCATGAAATCTTACGAGGAATGTCAGGCTGTGGAAGAGATGAAACAGGGTCGGCTCCGGTTGCCGGGGGGAGCGGCAGTCTACTTCACCTTCCGCCTCCCGGGGGGCAGCCCGCCCTGCGGCCCCTCCAGCGGATGGAGTTGGACACCCACGGCTCTCAGGTATAGTGGGCGTGGTCCTGCTGACCTCAGTAACCACTGGCGGAGTGCCTGTGCTGTGATTGGGTGAAAGCCCCAGGATTGCTGCAGAGCTGCGGCCTTGTGCGTTTTGGATACATCCTCAAAGGATTTTCCAGTGATAAATGACCAGTTCCTTTCCTGCCGTCCGTGAAGTTGTTCAGTGCTTGGCCTGTGGTTCACACTTGACAACTGTTCAGCCACTAGGCCCGGCGTGTCAAACCCAGTGCCCGACTGCTTTCAAAGAATCAAGTTTTTTTCTGAAGAACTGTGTGTAGATAAGGCTCATGTAAATAGGTCCACATTGGTTGGGGGTTCATTTTCAAATGGCTGTGGTGCCTGGCAGATGGGACTTTGCTTTGCTCAACCATCTGCTTCCTTTCTTTTTCTTCCAGGTAGTTCAGGGCCTTTAACATCTGTTGAAGAGGCTCTTGGCATTTAAGGAAATCTTTGGCAAATCTGTTTGTAAAGTGACTTAACCCCCACTCCCCTCACCTCCCCTCAGTTAACTGCTCTGAGAAAGTTGTAATCTCCATATATTTATATGTGTTTTAAAACTCAAACTCGCCCTGGCTGGCGTAGCTCAGTGGATTGAGCGAAGGCTGTGAACCAAAGTGTCGCAGGTTCGATTCCCAGCCAGGGCACATGCCTGGGTTGCAGGCCATGGCCCCCAGCAACCGCACATTGATGTTTCTCTCTCTCCCCCCCTTCCCTCTCTAAAAAGAAATAAATAAATCTTAAAAAAAACCCCTCAAACTTGAGTCAACAAAAATGTGAGAGTACATAACAAAACCATTTTGCTTAAGAAAATGTGGCCAAAACAGAAACATAGATACGTAGACACAGAGAACAAACTGACAGTTGCCAGAGGGCATGCCAGAGGGCATGGCGGTCTGGAGGGGGGCTGGGGGAAGAAGGTGAAGGGACTGAGGAGTACAAATTGGTGGTTATGAAGCAGTTATAGGGATGCAAAGTACAGGGTAGGGAATAACAGTCAATAATAGTGTAATAACTAAGTGTGGTGCCAGGTGGGTCCTTGAAATATCAGGGGGATCACGTTGTAAATTATGATTGTTTAACCACTGTGCCGTGCACCTCAAGTTAACATAAAACACTTCGAAAAGGAAGATGTGACTATCTCGGTGATTTGCCTGCAGTCGCTGCGAGGCTTGTTGCAGGGCGGAGCCCCTGATTGCTACCTGCCCCATTGCTCTGTTCATAGGAAGACAGATCCCCTCTGGGGTGGGAACTGCTGCAGAGATGGCTCGTGGATTTTATCGCCTGTAACAATGTCTGTTGATGGGTAGTGCCTTCCTGGAGTCCTATGCTGAGAGGGATTTGGGGGGTAGTATCTAGGCTTGGTGAGAATGAGTGCCAGGATCAACCTGTGATGTCTGTCTGGGGTACCGAATAGGGACGTTCTCCAGATGTATGCAACATATGAGGTGCTCCTGGATGTAAAGGAGCTTTGGGGGACTCTGTTTGGAAAGAACACATTTCCCCAATGGCCACGAGCCCTGGTCTATTTTATGTGCTTTCTGACTAGACAAAGAACCTTAGCTATGGATCCGCAGGTTAGACACGGGAGGAAGCAGAGAACGCTCACTGAAACTTGGAGGTGTTTTTCTGGTACACACACGTGGCACCTGACACCGTGAAGGAATCCTTGGTGGGGGGTATGGCGAGGGCAGTCCCCTGTACTTTGGGTTCAGGTGGTTGGCACGCTCATCTTGAAATTTTAGAATTCTAATTTTTCTTTTTAAGATTTCTGCACTCTGAAATTCCTTGTACTTGTGCAAACTCACTGATACTTCTTTGTTGTCTAAGTGGCAAGAAACGTTGACCCCGGCCAAGCCCGCCTTCCATCGGAAGCTTCCTCAGTCCTGCTGCAGAAGGGGCAGAACGGAACTGAGAGACAGTCTCTCCGGGAAGCTATGTCTGATCCCCAGAGATGGCTGGAGACTTCTCCTTCGAGTCCCACCGAATGTCGTGCCTCTTTCAGATGAGTTTTGCAGTGCTGCTTGACTGCCTTCCACTGAGATTCCCCTCGTCCCTCCCTCTGCCCTCAGTTGATAAGAAGGTTCTATCCAATAAAACTTTAATCTGTAAGCATTTTTGAAGGCCAGTTATTATGTCTGGCTTTTTTTTTCCTTTCTGCCAGTTCCAGGTAATGTTGCAAACCATCTGAGACCCCAGTATATGTTTGGGAAGTGCATTGTTTCACATAGATGTGTTTTAGGAATTCCTTTCCAGGGTAAGAACAAGAGAGGCTGGCTGAGCATCGTTAATCCAGGCGATTCACAATTCACGCTAGGACTGTGCCCCCCCCACCCCGCCACGCCTTTCCTCCCGTCCCCAGGGCTCCAGATTCAAGTTACTTTTGAAAATCTCCACAGGCAACACAGTTGGGGGTGCTCTTCCTGGGAGGCAGGGCATTAAAGGCAGCGCTCAGGAGGATTCAATGTGTGTCTTATTCACCAACAGCCCGATATAAGGAAGACTTTGTGTGAATGTTGTCATTTTTCCCAATAACAAGCTTGAATTAGCCAGTGCGACCCTCCCTTCCTCAAGCAGAAGACAGCTCGCCACTTATGGTCTCCTCTCAGACCCTGTTTACGCCGGCATTCGCCTGGGTGTGTTCCAACCTGGGGCCCGGCAAACACAGGAGCGTGGAGGCAAAAATACCTTCTTTGAAAAAAGTTGTGGGTGGAAGTGGTGCCCCAAATAGGAGCAGGATAGGTGCTTGAAAATGCAAATGAGAGGTTTAAGCAACCCTATTTAGGGTGAGGGTGAAGGAGGGTCCACATTCCTATTTCAAAAATTGTATAAAATGGCTCTTCTCTGCCTCACTTCCTCCTGCATCCTTCCCCCTTCGCTGGGGAGCCTGGGAAGATGTTTTAAGAGTTGAAACTAAGAAGAGATACAAAAATGACACAGATAGATATGCTTTATTTCTTGGATGAAAAAAATTAGGAATGTTAAAATTAGAGTTTCAGAGAATTTTGATGTGACTCTCCATCCTGTTACCCCAAATGGATTCTATGCATGTGACCGTGGTTTGAGATATTTTGAAGAGTCAAGAGGATAATTTTATTGTTTGTAGGAGATGTAAAAAAACCCCTGAAGTATTTAATAATTTTAAATCTGGATACCTGAACGGGAATAAGCAGCAGGACCCTGAACTCTGACGGGTAATGTAGAACTCACGCACCAAACTGGAGCCATGCACCTGCACGTATGACAGTGGCAGACACGGAGCCTAGGCGTGTAGCAGGCTCTACCACCTAGGTTTGTGTCAATGCGCTGTATGATGTTCGCATAATGACAAAATTGCCCGCCGATGCATTTTTTTAGATTTTATCCCTGTCGTTAAGCTGTGCGTGGCTGCGGCCGCATCACACCCCTGCCGCTCACCTGAAACGCACCTCCAGTCTGTTTTCCATCCACTGGGCTCCAAGCCTTCAACGTGCATGGCCTCCCCCACCTCGGGGTCCCTCAAACTGCTATTCTGTCTCTGGGAGGCTCCCCTGTCACCCACTGCAGGTACAGGGCCGGCTCCCCCAGCCGAAGCCTCACCTTCTCAGACTAACTGATCACTCTAACTGCTGAGGGCAACCAGCAATGCAAACCTTATTCCTCATTTTAGCCTCCTTATTTCCTTCCAAGTATTCACCCAAATTTATCCTTACTGTCTTAGTGTGCTAGTTTTTGGCTTCCCTGAAATGTCAATTCTATGAAGATGGGGACAGGTGTTTCCAGTCACAAAGACTTAGAGAATGAATGAAACTTGGGAATCGTGAAAAGTCCTTCAATGGAGCTGGCGGGAACCAAACACACGGCCAGGCCGGCACGCAGAGGGGCTTCGGTCGGCAGCCCCCCTGTCTCTGCTGCTGGCTGGGCCAGGTCAGGGGTGCTGGGTGGAGAAAAGCCGAGAAGCGCTGAGCTCCTTCGGGTTCTGGCTGCATTCTCACTGTTTTCGTGGCGAGGTGACAGGAGTCAGTCCTGGCCCGTGGACTTGAGGCTCTGTCTTTTCTGGCCAAAGGTGGGGATGTGCGTCATCACCCCTGCTTTTAATATCAGGAATACCAGCTTGGACTCTTTCCTGGAAAAATATGACCTTTTAATAGCAGACATTCAGTAAGCTGTGAATACCTTCGCAGCCAGGCGTGGTGCTGGTCATGGGGCCCAGGGACGCAGGGAACAAGCCATTCACTGTCCCCGGGGGAGACCGACGTGTAAACAGTTATAATGCAGAGTGACAAGAGCGGCTGCCGCCGAGGCGAGGGCAGGTGCTCCGCGGGGAGGGAGGAGGGGGCCTGGGGGAGTGTCGGTGGGGGACTTGCCAGCAGGGTCAAGCTCAGTTTGCTGCCTTCTTGCTAGTTCCTTAAAGGAGGATTTGGTGACCTCTGCTGGGAGATGAGCCTTCCAGCCTGAACTGAGGCCGCCGGTGCAAGGAGAGGGGAGATGGACACAGAACTCAGAAAGCTTTCTCAGGAAAACACTGGCTTGAAGAGGTAAAGCTTGAAGATTTGATAAAAGGTGGAGGGACTTGGACAAATAGCATCTGGAAAATACTTTATCAGCCAGGCAGAGAGTGGAAAAGGCGTGGGGAAACGAGGGCAGGGGGTAGCTCACTTGAGAGGTGATGGAAATGCAGGCCCAGCTAAGTGGGTTCGCTTGGCGAGGATTTGGACAGAGCAACTCCACTTGTCAGAATTTATTCTCAGGAACCAATCAGTTACACGTGCAAGATATCTCCCCCTTCACTGACGATACATACTAGAGCAGGTAAACAGTGGGACAGATTAAATAATTTATGGCCTACCTATGATGTGATAGGACCATTAACAGTGACTGTGTCCTTTTATTGATATTGGGATGGGAAGACATTTGAGAGAAACTGTTAAGTAAAACAAAATTATGAAAGAATACTAAACACCTGTAAAGGTCTGCAAGGAAAAGCAAAATGGCCCTAGTGTGGGGGGGGGGTTATGAACAGTTATTTATTTTTTGCTTTATGCTTTTGTGTTTCCTTTTCTACTCACAAAAAGCAGGCATTGAATTTACAATCAGAAAACCAGTACAGTTATTTTTATGTTGAAAGGAAGACTCCACAGGGTTGTTATTGAGATGATTAGGACTAGAATCTCCATTGAGGATACGATATTCCCAGGAGATTCCCCACTGGGCCGGGGCCTCTGGACCTTATGGCTTTGACTCTGGATGGAGAGACGAAACCATCTTCTGGTTTGCTCCCCAGCACTGGCCTGGGGGTGGGGTGGCTCCCCCTCGGAGGCTCTGGAACAGGCACAGGAAGATGAGGCATCCTCCCGTGCTCCCTACCGCTGCACGTTGGAATCACTGGGTAAGCTGAAAGTAATACCTGTGCTCAGGCCCTGCCCCTCAGACCAATTAAAGCCAGATCTCTGGGGATGAGGACCAGGGGAAGGGCCCAGGTGATGCTATTCTGAAGCCAGGGTTGACTACATTCCTGATTGGAGGATAGGGAATGAAAAATATATAGCATCATAAATTTGGACCCATGTTTTGAAGGCAGGCCAGACTTGTATGTTGATCTTTGAAAAAGGATTCTTTGGTCAAATACTTTTGTATCTCCCTCTAGGAAAGTCTCAAAGCGCATGAGCAAATGAAGGCTCCGGGAAGTCCTGCAGTAAAGAAATCTGGTTTGTTACACTTGGGGTTTCCCATTATATCGACTGAGAAAACCTTTGTCTTGGTGATTCTTTGTCTTGGGTGGCAGTGGGCTGGCGGCAGCAGCCTGGAGTTCTTCTGTGCCACATAGTTTGGCCACCCTGTGGGGACACTTCTCCACAATGACCCGAGGACACTGGTAAGACCATTGTGGATTCCTGGATGTATAGCTGTAGAGGTAAACGTGGAGAGTTCCCATTCCGGGACTTCGGGTGTGCCTACGGCTCACCAGAGCACTTGACCTGGGACAGTGGGGAGGGGACACCTGGCCACAGAGTCTGGAGTACTCAGGGGAAAAATGAGGCTCAGAGAGGCGATTGGGTCTTTGTCTCAAATTATGAAGCTGCGCAGAGTCTAAAAGGGACTTACGATCCAGACTCCCTGCTTCTCAGTCAAAAGCACCCTCCCACCCCCGCCACCCAGTTGAAGACATTACCTCAGGCAGTTTATGATCTTTGAATAAAGGAGCGCTGCCGTGATTAATGGGACGTTCTGGCCTCTCTACCCCATTTTGCGTTTCTGTCTCCATCTGCCAAGAGGACACCCAGAGCTCTAAATATCCCTGGGTTGCAGGGAGTGTTTAGAATTGAAGAGCCGGTCCGACACAATTAAAAGCTTTCAGAAGGCTATGTCTCCAATTATTTACTTAGCGATAGCAAGCTATTTAAATTTCACTGTGGAGTAGAAAATAGGGAGATAAGAACAAACTATGGTCAGGCCGACTGTGACCTCACCCCCCTGCTCCTCTGGTCTATAAAAGAGCAGAAGCAGGACATTCTGATTCAAGGATGCTTTGTTAAACTGTGCGTTCTCTTAATCAGAATTGTTTCTTAATCTCTTTGTGGGCTGCTAATGGGCCGTTTATGGGGACATTCCAAGGCAAAGTGAATCTGGACCAAAGAGGGCTGCTGATCTGGGGAGGGGCCCCCCACCACCCCCCTGTTGAAGGTGGTTGGACAATGACTCAGTAATTCCTCATCTGGAGTGAAATGAGGTTTATAGTTGTAAAGTCATAAATGTCCCGGTCTCCAAGGCAAAGAAAGCAGCGTTCACACCTTCATTTTCCTCAGTCCCTTTTAGATACATTACGTTGATTGCTGAAACATTTCTTCCTCTTATCCTGGTTCCCTTTCAAGATAAATCTGTATAGTAATTTTAACTACAACATTTCCAATGATACGACTTTTCATTTTGTTCCTTTTATAGCAGGTAGGAAGGGCTGTAGGACTTGGCAGGGAGGGCCTGGCCCAGGGGATTGTCAAAAGGGGCACTTAACTGATGTTTATACACAGACACCCCCACACACCCATGTGTATATATACTCATACATGTATTTTAAATTGAGGCATAATTTACATACAGAAATTCACCCTTTTAAATGTGTAATTTTATGAATTTTGAAACATGAACACAGTTGTAAAAATATTGCCAAAATCAATATACATAGTGGTGGGAAAAAGTAGGTTTGCTTTGGTTGCCCCCGTATGAGAGTCCCGTCACTCCAAAAAGTTCCCTGGTGCCTCTCTGTTGTTATCTCCTTCTTTTTACCTCAAGCCCCTGGTAACCACCGCTCAGTTTATTAATCCCCGAAGTTCTGCCTCTTCCAGAAAGTGCTGTGCGTGAGATCGTACAGTGTGCAGCCTTCTGAGTCTGGCTCTGCCACGTAGTGTGATGCGTTTGTGACTCGCCCGTGGTGTCGCCCGTCAGCGGTTGCTGAGCAGTGCTCTGTTGTACTGGCGAATTCTGATCTGTCCCTCCAGTCACCAGGCCTGTCCCTCCAGTCACCAGGCGAAGGACATTGGAGCGTCTCCAGTTCTCAGCAATTACAGATAAAGTTGCTGTAAACGTTCACAGACAGGGTTTTGGAGTGGGTGTGTGTTTTCATTTCTTTTGAGTAAGTACCAAAGACTGGTATTGTTGGGTCATATGTATGACTTTATAAGAACGTTATGTTTAACTTGATCAGAATCTCATATTTTTAACTTTTATGTTTTTGGTTTTAATTTGTTTTTAACTTATAAAAGAGTATCACACTGAGGTAATCTTTTGGGGCTTATTTTTTTCGCTTAGTCTCATGTTGTTCGCATTTACCTGTATTGTGCCCTCTGGCTGAGCGTATGACATGGACCCGTGCAGGTTAATACAGCACAGCTCACACATCCCCTCGCCTACTGAAGGGTATTTGTCTGTTCCCAGCTTTTTAATTGTTTTGTTTTATCACTGGCATTCTTGCCTCATCTCTTTGTCTCATTCTTGTCTCTTGTATTGGTTATCTGTTGCTGTGTAACAATATTGTCTAAAGCTTAATGGCTTAAAATAACACACTTGATTATCTCCCAGTTTCTGTGAGTTGAGAGGCCAGGTATGGCTTAGCTGCATCTCCTGCCTCAAGCCCTCGGAAGACCGCAGGCCAGGAGCTGTCCAGGGCTGTGGGCTACCAGCCACGCAGGGCTGGACTGGGGAGGGTCCTGGTTGTTGGCTGGATTCAGGTGGTCTCACTGAGAGCCTCAGGTTCCTGATGGCTCCCAGACAGGGGTCACCCTGCATTCCTTCCCAGCATGGCTGCTGCGTCAAAGCCGGCAAGGGAGTCTGCGTGTAATGACAAACATCACGATCTTATGTGACATTATCACAGACGTGACATCCCACCACCTCTGCCATGTTCTACTGGTTGGAAGCAAGTGTGGGTTCTGCCCAGGCCCAAGAGAGCAGATTTGTTAGGGAAGTAAGTACCAGGAAGCTGGGGTCCTGGGGGCTCATTAGAGGGTTGTCCGTGTGCATGGCTTTCCCTCGGGTTTATACCTGGGAGTGAAATTGCTAAATCCTAGGGCACTCTCTCTGTTCCCAGCACTGCCCTTTACTGATAAAGACTATCTTTTCTGGAATGAATGTACCTAAGTCAGCTTTCTTTCAGTTAATGTTCATCCAAATGTCTTTTTCTATTTTTTTTTGTTTTGCTTTCAACCTTTGTATATCCTTGTGTTTGAAGTATGTCTTTTGTAAATAGCACATATCAGAGTTAAAAAAAATTCAGTCTCTCGGCTTTAACTGGTGAGCTCAGTCCATCTACCTTTGTAATAATAAAAGACACACACACCTATTTTATCACCGTAAGTTTTCAATTTGTATCACTTTTACAATGCTTTCATCTTCCTTATTTTTATTTTTAATGATATATTTGTATTTCTCTGATTTTATCTATGGTGAAAATTTAGGATTTTTCTGCTCTCTCCTTCATTCACCCCTATCATGTCAATATAACCTAGGCTTTTAATTCTAGATTGTTATAGATGTAATTTTTCTTTTCTTTGGCCTTAGCTTGCTTTTCCCTTCTTAAACAATAAGAACATTTATCAAGGTATTGGATCATCCTTTTTCCACAAATCTCTTGCAGAACAATCTCCTAGATTTTTCTCTCCCATAGTGCTTCAACCAGAACTGTTTATAATGAACGTCTCTCTGCAACATATCTTGTGTGCTTGAGAATATTTTTATTTGGTCCTAACATTTGAATGACAGTTTGCTTGAATATAAAGTATTAGATTCTAAATTCTGTGTCCTTCACTTCTGTGAAAACATTACTCTGTCTTCTTTTTTGTCTAATATTGCTGAGGTCAGTCTGATTCTTATTCTTTTGTATGTGACCTGATCTTTCTGTGATAGCTTTGAAATTCTTAAATTTTATTATAATATATGTAGGTATGTGTTTCCCTGATTATATATGTATACATATATTTCCTGATTACATATATATAAAATATATAAATGCAGAAAAATGGATCTTTATTAATGTTCTCAAATATTTCTTCCTCACCATCTATGTTTATCTTCCTTTTCTTTTAGCTTTTCATTAACACTATCTCTTTGTCCTTTTTCTTCCTTCTGAGCTATTTCTGAGATTGGGTCTCCCAATTCACTAATTTGTTCTTCAGCAGTATCAATTCTGCTCTCTCTCATTATATTTCTGTTTGATTCTTTCTTATGTTTTCTTGCTTCTTATTATTCATTACACCCTATATCTTTTCAAATATTTATCAGGCTGGTGAAAAATAGTTGATTCATATGTTTTGATATTTCTGCTTCTCTTGGAATCTGTCATCCAGGACGTTATTTTCAGTTTGAAATAGCTGTGCTCCTCCAATATCTTGTTATTTTATTTTGTGTGCTCATTTTCTCTTCAGGGTACCAATCGGGCAGTGTACCTTGGGGGAAAGCAGCCCCACCCCCCACACCCTCCACAACGCGTGAACTCAACTGGTGGTGGTAGATGAGCTCCAGAGTCTAGAGCTTTGACACCAGAAAATTACATTCAAGTGCTCCTTACCCTCCAAAACAACCCTCAGATCAGGTCTTCGTTCTTTGTTCCTCAGAGAGAAGCAGACTCCCAAGAGACTCCAAATTCAGTGGTTCTGAATCTCTGCTGCACGTTGAAATTGCTTGGGAAGTTTTTAAAGGTCCGGATGCCCACACCATGCTCCAGATCAATTTCACTGGAGTCCCCAAGGTGGAATTAAGCAGCAGGGCTTTTAAAGCTCCTCAGGTGATTTCAATTTGCATCAAGACTGAGACCTTTCATCCAGACTGGATTGTAATTCTCCAGCTCTGGGAGTTGGAAGGAGAAGGGATGTGGAAAGTTCTAGAAATCAGTTGGTCTCCTAGTTTTTCTGTTTCTTCTGAGGACCTCTGCCCCAGATCTCTATGTCCTGGTAGGAGGGGTGCAGGTATCATTTGCTACAAGGTGCTGCGGGGAGGTTGGGGCAAATGGGTGCAGAATTCCATCAGTTCTTCTATTTTATCTTTCCACAACCCTGCCGGGCTGTGCCCCGTCTCAGGACAATGCCACCATTCCCCAAACACCTGTACAAAACCACCCTGGGAAACTCTTCACAATGGTTTTCTCCTCTACCGTTTTATTTTGTATGAGGTTGACATGGGTGGGGGATTAGGGGAGGAGATCAGCAGGCATGCTCATTCAGCATCTTGGCCTGCACTGGAGCTACCTAGGGCATGATCCACGAACCGGAAGTATGACATCACCGGGGAGCTTGTCAGAAATGCAGAATCTCGGGTCCCCCCCTGGATCTACTGATTCAGAATCTGTATTTGAACAAGATCCCCAAGTA